CACACCGCCGCCCTCCCAACCCCCTTTCTTAGACAAGCGCGCTCCACTACTCGCAAAGTAGCTGCTCGCACATTGCCTGGATCCGCCCTTGGGGATTTACGATCCACTACATCGAGGAAAACATGTGAGTTTCAGACATTTGGGAGTACGTAGGCACCTTGCGAGTAATTCAACGCGCCCAGTGATTCCTCCTCTTCTTCCCCCGCCCCCTGTCGCGCTTGCCTCCCGCCCTCCCTCTCCAATTTCCCCCGAAAGCGGGCAGGCATGAGGCAACTCGTCTGTATGGGGTTCTATACATAAGACGAAGCCAGGACGAGGACAACATCGGGCAATAATACATCGAAAACTCTGAGATCCGGCGGATCTGGAGGACGTGTCGGGCGTCGCCGCCTTTTCAGAGCGTTCTGGAACGCTCTGAAAGCGTTCCTGAACGCTCTGGAACGGATTTATCCTCGTCCTGGCCCCGTCCAAGTACATCTTTTCTCAGAGACCAGCAGGTGAGCTGCCGGATCCGGAATCGGTGGGGCGATGGTATCTCTGAGTGTCTCCTATTGTCTCCCTTTGTCGCCCATTGTCTCCCGTTGTGGCCCACAATCAATCTCCCTACTCCTATCTCAATCCCACCAGCCCTTTAGGGCGTAGGTGGTTTAGGGTGTTTCCTCTTCCACCCCCTTCTTCCCCTTCGGGGAGGGGGTTACGCCTCCCCCTGCCCCCTCTCCTGGACCTGGACGGGGCGTTCCGCGAGCGGTCGGAGCGTCCAAAACGGCCTCGGCGAGGAAGCCAAAATCATTGGTTTTACTAAGGTTTGGGCCCCATGTTGGCCTCTTGAGGGGGGGGGGGGGGGGGCAGCGCGAATTAAGGAACACCCCTTCTTCGATCGATCTCCTCCGAGACCCAAGAGCGCCCCCAAGGCTCCCAAGGGTGCCCCAAGAGGGCCCCAAGAGGTGGCCAGGAAGCCCCAAGAGGCCCCCAGGATGCCCCCAAGAGGATCCCAAGTGACCCCGAACAGGCCTCAAGAGGCCCCCCAGAGGCACCTAAGACGCTCCAAGAGGCCTCGGCGAGAATGCCAAAAATCATTGATGTTACTAAGGTTTTGGTCACATTTTGGCCTCCAGCGGGGGGGGGGGGGGAGGGGGGGCGCTGATTAAGATGACTCCAAGAGCGCCTGGGAGATCCCAAGATACCTCCAAGATGGCTCAAGATACCCCAAGATGCCTCAAGATGGCTCTCACGATGCTCCAAGAGGCCCCAAGACCGATCCAAGGCGACTCCAAGTGGCCAAAGAGCTCCCTCGGGAGGCCCCGAAGAGGCCAAAATCCTTTCAAAATCTGGCGAAAATCAATACTGTTGACTTTCTCGCCTTTTCGCTTCCGATGGCCATCCGAGGACTCAAGATGGCTCCAATACGGCCCAAGAGGGCTCCAAGAGCGCTCCCAAGGCTCTCAAGAGCGCTTCAAGAGGGCCCCAAGAGGCGCCCAGGAGGCCCCAGGAGGCTCCACCAGGCCCCCAAGAGGCCTCCAAGAGGCTCCCAAAAGACCCCCAAGAGGCCCAAGAAGCTCTCCGAGGCGTCCGGGACCGCCACGAGGCCCCCAAGACGCTCCAAGAGGCCTCCACTGGGGGACCCTTCCTCTGTGTGCTGCCCACTTCCCTGATCGAGGCAACTCCTCTGGGCATCGTTTCTGGACGAGCTGGTGGGGTTCTGCGAAGCGTCTAGAATTCCTATCTCTATCCCTGTCACTATCCCTGTCCTTCTGCGTCTCCCCGAATCCCTTTTCATCCCTATCCCTATCCTGCATCCCTATCCCTAGTCCTACACCCCTGCCCCCTATATTCCTAACCCCGAATGCCTACTCCTACCTTCATCCCTATCCTGAACCCCACAGCGTGGCCCTCCATCGTGGCCCCCCATCGTGACCCTCCATCGTGACCACCATCGTAATTGTGTAAGACTGCTTAGGACCCTCTGCCACCAAAGTGCCGTTCTCTAAAGCCAGAACTGACCGAACCGATCTTGCCCGGAAGCGGCCGCGGTTTTAGCACGAAGTGGACCGAACCAAACTCGGGGGCGCCCAAGAGGGGGACATCTAAGAGAGGGGGGTGCAAATCATGGCTGGTGGCATGAGCGCACGGCCCACGGGGGGGCCGGAGACGTACTAGAATAAGAAGGGGCGCCAGGAATTCTGGGAGATATCATGGCCCCCGCCATGACATCACCCCCTCGTCATCACCCCCCTCTTGGACGGACCCGAAACCTGCAATAATTCTCCTCCCGACGGTATCCTAGTAACCAACATCCGTCGCTCCATGCCTCTGTCTCCTCTGCCTCGGTCTCGGCACCGACGCTCTATGCGATTACGCAACACCGCACGTGGGGTTGGCGCAGTGGGCGCCGCCGTCGATTGCAGCAACAAACGTTACTTTGACAAGGTACACGTGGCGTCGGGTATAGTCAGATGCTCAATAATCGCACGGGGGACATAGCACGAGTCACCGTCGACGAAAAACGCATCTTGCGAGTCAAAGCCCCAACTTGCTCGGACTAGTGCAAAGTTCGTCCCTTGTTTGTGCTATCCACCCTCTGGGAGCGCATGTGCTATCTGCCCGCCCCCATGCCCCTGCCCACCCCCCTCCTGGGGGGGCGGGGCGCTAGCCGCCCGCACATGAGCCCCAAGAGGGCCAAGGATGTATCCACTCTTCTGGAGGTCGGCGGAAAGGCGTCAGCCTGTTGAATGCAAGAGGAGGGGGAGGGCGAATCGGGTGACCCCGACGGCAGGAGAAGGGGAGGAGGATGACCAAGGGGCCAGGGGTCAAGGGCTAGCGCCCCGCCACAGAGAGCGGACGAGGACCTGCCCCTCTCCCTCCTCCTCCCCACCTCCCCCTTGATTTGGGTAATGTCTCGAGCGGCGGCGCCGTGGTTGCGAGGATGTCTCTCGGGACTGGGCAAGTTCTCGGGATCTGGGCACGGAATGTTCGCGTAATCGCTGACACATCAAAATTAAGATTGTTCACGACATGTCTTGTCTCGAAGGTTTGTGTGTTTTATGTTGCTAGGGATCCTAAAAGCGGAAGGGAAGCACATAGCACAGATCTTCACGCAACCGTGCTATTCAACAGGATCTGACTATAACTTACCACCGTGAGCCTCGTCAGGGTCTGCTACGCTTGACGAATTTAGTGGTTACGGCCATGGCGATATTTGCAAACCTTGCACCACCCACGACAGCGATGTTTCGTTTGGAGTTGGGTGAAACCGCGCCCCGCTGAACTTTCCAGGAGCTCACCAATCTGGCGACAGGTGCTCGAATGACGTTACCCAAGAATGTGATGGTCGAGCCTGGGTCCGTCTAGTACCGCACCCCGCTGGACCTCCGACAAACTCTGACAGTGGCGGTACTGACTCATTTGGCGCCGACAAGTCTGACATGTAGTTCGGGCTGGAAAAAAACATCACTCCGATGGGCCCTCAAAACCTCGAAGAAACAAATCTTGCAAATCTGTGCAGTTGGAGCCACCCGCGAAAGCGAGATCTAGTTAATGTTCGGGTAAGACCGCACTCGGCAAGGCCCCATACAAAACCACAAACATGGCGCGGCAGTTGTGCAGCTGGCGCCAACCAGGGGGGCGAAGTCTTGGCTGGACTCGGATACGACTGCACCCCGCTGGACCCCACCCAAGCTCACTAAACAAGTGCGCACTCGGTGCCGCCCAGGGAGGCGAGGTCTAGTTTGGGCCTAGGTGGAACCGCACCCTGCTGGGCGCGCTGTTGGCGCCGCCAAGAGAGCGAAGTCTGGATTCGGCCCGAATGACAAGCCATCCCGCTGGACCCCCCACGAGTGGACGAACCTCGCCGCAGTTGCGCAACTGGCACAGACCAGCGAGGCGAGGTGCACCCAGGGAGCCGAGGCCCGAGGCAGGTAGGATACAGGTAGGAGGCAGGGAGGGGGCGGGAGGAGAAGCGGTGGGCGAGACGGAAAGGAAGGAACAGCGGTGCTCGATTCCACCCGAGCGCCCCACACAGGAGCGTTGAGAAAAAACCCTCCAACCTACATGTGGAGGCCCGGAATAAGCGGCTTATGTGTCCAATGCGCCCCTATGCGTGTGGACATAGAAAGTGTAGGAGCCTACGCATGGAACCCAACGTGCGTAAAACCTTGCGTGCGCGGAGCCCTGTGCGCAGAACCCGATGTCTGCAGAGTCCATGTCTGTGAAGCCCCGCGTCTGGAACCCTGTGATTGTGGGCCCCTGTTTCTGGAGCGCTCTGCGTGGAAGCCCATGCGTCTGAAACCCGATGCCTACGGCACGGTGCGTGTGGAACCCTGTGCGAGCTGGAGCCATGAGCCACCCCGCGCTCTGGGCCGCACACGGCGCGTGTCACGGGGGCAGCTGGTCGAGATCACACGACTGGTCGACTAGTCCAGGGACACTACCTGTTTCTTATGACCCATCCCGACCCATGCGGCAGGAAGTGGCAGTGGAGCTGACCCAACCCTGAAAAAGAGGAAGGGCGGCGATGGGCAACAGTGACGCCGACGCAGGAGACAGCAGTGGAGGAGGAAAGACGAGGACGCCGACGAGGGAGAGGAGGAGGATGAGGAGGATGAGAAAGAGGAGGAGGAGAAGGAGGTCGGCCCGCCGACCGATGGCAATCTTGTGTCTCGCAGGCCCTCCCCCGCTGCGAGCGCCGGCCTCCAGATGCCCAGATAATCGGGAGCGGCGCAGCCCCTAAACCGATCTGCGCGCGGGCGCCGAGACTCGCGTCGCGGCGTCTGTCTGTGCGCTGATTGCCAACGCGGCACGACTCACTGGTGCCTTAGCGCCTAGTATCGCGCAGAGTGGAGGGGGAGGGAAGGAGCGGGAGGCAGGAGGAGAGAGAGTGGTGGTGGGGGGGCACGAATCGATGCTCAGCCTACGTTGGGGGCAGAAGGCTCACAGCTGGTGGCCGCCCACAGAGGCTTTTGAGCTCTGCGAAATGTGCCCCAACCTCGACATCGGCACGTCCGTCACGACAGGCCCAAATCGCCGATGATTTTACGCAAACTGTGGTTGGGGATCAGCGTCCTGTTGGTGAGGTGCAGACCTGTGACCGGCGAGGTGGTGTTTTCCTCCAGCCACTTCTCGATGGACGCGCGCTCGTAGGTGTGCCCATCGGCGGTGCTCACCGGATCACTCATGATGCTCTGGGTGATCGGGCAAAAACACTCGTGAGGAATCTCCGCAGACTCATCCGTGGCGCCGTCATCCGTGGCATTGTCAACTCGCACGGCCGCCTCTTTGGCGGAAGCGAGCTCGCTCAGCTCCTGACACTGGGCGGCAATGGCGGAAATGTCGGAAAGAGCACCTGCCACCGACGACGCGCACGCGTCGCGAAGGCGCTGGAGAGCTTTCATCTCGTCGGCGTGCGCGCACGTGAGGACCATCGCGCGCTCGAGGGCGACCAGCACATCATGCTCGAGCGCAGCAAGCTGTTCCCTCAGGTGCTCGAGCAGGCCGTCGAGCTCCCCGGTGAGGAAGTCCGAGGCTTTTCTGAACATGTCGGGGCCGTTGTGAGAGACCTGGTCATGGATCACCTGCTTCTGCCGCACGTCCATGCCTGGGCCCCGTTCACCTTCTGCCCTCGCGTAGCTCTCACTCATGAGGTCCCTGATCCGCCACCGCGCTTGCAGCGGCTGTTTGTTTTTTGTTGTGTGTGTGTGTCTGCGTGTGTCTGTGTGTGTGTGTGTGGATCGGGCCCTTGGTGTTGCTTGTTTCTTCTGCTTCCTGCGCAACGATAACTGAGGCCTCTGACGCATGGAGTCCAACCTTCGCTCGTGTTGGTTGGCCAAATCCCTTCATTTGCTTCGTATTCAAAGACGAACACATGGAGAAAAACATTGTGCCTAACCCACAAGTTCGGATAAGCAGCCCAATGGCACACTCGTGCCATGGAGGGGGGCGGGAAGCTGAGCGAAACAAGAACGATCCGGACGTCCCCACACGTCCAGGCGTTTCAAACCTTGCCCAACATGGCTACCGATTTCTTCCAACATTACGCAGAATTGCAACACTGGGCCCTGGATAGCCTTCGGCATGCGTTCACGAAACCCACAAAGAGGGATACACCACGACTCCGAGAAATTCCCCGTGCACCCAAAAACGCAACAGCCGCTCAGCAATGTAAGTCTGATTGTTCAATGTTTTTCGCACCCCCAGCGCCTCAGCATCACATGTTGTCGGGGTGGGACCCCCAACCCCGAGACGGCCGAAGAATTCCCGACGTCTGTCACGTGTGGCCATGGGGCGGCCCCATCTGTTGCCCGAGACGACATCCACCAAAGCCCAATAAGGCCAAATAGAGCCCCCGAACGACCTAGGTGTGCGCCAAGACGGCCCAACAGCGCCAAGCCATCTCGTCCAGGATGCGCCAAGGCGCCACTGTAGACACGAAGACTTCAGGATACAAACTCTGCAACAGCTCCCCAGAGGCCCCCAAGACGACCCCCAAACACCCTAAGAAGCCCTGAAGAGGAATCCAACGGTTCGAGATAAGGCCCTCTTCAACGAGGCAAGCTCCCGAGGCCCAAAAACGTGAATCTCCGTGACTGCCTCCCCGAGCTGCCTGTCATCAAGAGCGCCCTTCGCGCTCTCCCGCCGCCCCCCAGTGGAGAAGAGGAGGATGAGGAGGAATCGGAGCCGAACCGCGAAGCGCGGATAGCTTCGCGCGGGCGCCCTTGGTCATCGCAGTGCGGTGAGGACCTGGTCTAACCTGCCCCTATCTTCGGCTGCTGGCCCCCCCGACCGCTCGCGCAGCTTCGCCTCCACATTCCCACGCGCTACGACACGGATCGACGGATCTCCACTTCGATACCCCACGGGAGGGGAGCTCCGTCAGCCCTCGATCACACCCCGACTTTCGAAACAATATGATACGCATCTACCTACACGTCGAACACAACTCATGCAATAACACAAAGCATTGACGAACGCTGCTGGCGCGTGGACCCAAAATCCGCCGACCCTGTCGGCGTGTGTGAAGAATTTGTCTGTTCGAGTCGTCGTCTCCGCCAGTCGTCGTCTCCGTCGTCCCCTTTCCCTGCACCCTATTCGTTTCAAACTTGTCAGCGACTGAGAAATCTACCGATGTCGTAATCGAGTCGAAGGGAAGCCCATTCCGTTTGATCCACCCTCCCCCGTCGTGGCGGGGTCCTGGGGGGGGTCCCGGGGTGGAGGGGGGTCAGATACGCATCCCTCCCTGAGGGCCCCAGGGCCTCAGAATGTATCAAGACAGGCCAAGAGTGCCCGAAGGGGCCGCCGAGACGGTTCAAGAGGGTCCTCAATCGCCAAACGATCGGTCCAAAACGCCTTCACGCCCTCCAGACTGCCCAGGAGGACTTCAGGACGCCGCAAGACGCCTAAGAGCACTCCTGAGAGGCTCCGGATAGGACCTCAGAGGTCAAATTCATGGATATTCCGTTGGTCTTTTAAGATTTGGGCGTTCTCGCCTTTTTCACTTCCCGCCGCTCCAAAACGGCGCAACATGCCCCCAAGATCGCCCCAAGATGGCCCAAGAGGCCTCCAAGAGGGCCCCAAAACAGCCTAAGAGGACCCCAAAACAGCCCAAAACGCCAACAAGACGGCTCAAGGGGCCCCCAACACGGCTCCAAGAGGGCCCGAACGGACATTTCGAGCCCTCAGCCCCAGGAGGTCCCAAGAGGTTCCCAAGAGGCCCCAGGAGGCCCACAAGAGGTCCCCAGGAAGCCCAAAGAGGCTCCCAAGAGGCTCCCAAGAGGCCCCCAAGAGGCTCCCAAGAGGCCCCAGGATTCCTTCCCAGAGCCCCCCGAGAGACTTCCGAAGAGACCTCAAGAACCATCCCTGAGGACTCTGGCCCACGTCAGCGTCGTTGTCGTTGCCGCCGCCGCCGTTGTCGTCGTCGTCGTCGTCGTCGTCGTCATTGTCGCCGTCGTCGTCGTCGTCGTCGTCGTCGTCAGCGTCGTCGTCAGCGTCGTCGTCAGCGTCGTCGTCGTCCCCCTTCAGGGTCGGCGGCACTGGCCGTAATGCCTTCGCAATGAACGCACTTACGCGGGGCAACCCACTCAGCGCATTGCACACGGGATTCAGGCCATCTACGCAGTGCACCGTAGGCGGCGAAACCTTTGCTGCCAAAGCTGAACGCAAGAATCTGCCACCGTGACCCATGGCACTTCAGCGACGAAAAGAAAAGAGTCTTACGCGAAATGGCATAGCGACTTTACACGGTGATTCACGCGGGCCACCAGCGCGGCACGCCACATCGGAGACGAGGGCGCTTACGCGCGACCTTACGCGGGCAACTTGCGCGCCAATGTTGCCGCAACCGATCGCGTTTGTTTTAGTCGCCCTCTTGAGGGTGCGGTAGAATGCCGGGTGATGTCCTGTCCTGCAGGGCCTGCGTCCGTCACCTGATGGCACCCCCCTCTCCTCTCCCCGCGCAATGTTGCGTGCGCCGCCCATCCCCCAACCCCTTCTCACCGACGGTCTCCGGGCGGCCCGGGCGCTTCCCGCAACCCCTCATAGGGCGCTCGAGGGGTCCCAAGCCGCCCGAGGAGCACCACTAAGCCCGCCAAAACGGACCAACGTTGCCCCACGAGGTGCCCAGCAGCCCCCAAGAAGATCCCAAGAGGCGCCACAGAGGCATCCGAGATACCAAAGAAAAGGCCCCCACGGTGCTCTCCAGGAGTGCTGATACCACCTTTGAAAACAAGAACCGTTCCCCGGGGCTCCACCTTCAAACAATAAGGGAGCAACTCAGGAGACGAGCTCAACGAAAAAGGGGAAACTGTCTCGACCCCAGGAAGCTGCGAGAAAGGGGCCGGAAGGGGAGGAGGGACAATCCGGCGGCTCTGCGTGGGAATCCTATTGATTAAAAACGTACGCGCTGACACGAGCAGAGAAACATCGAAAACACTCTGCTCTGTAGACGGTAGGCCCCCCGCGCCTCTCGGCTCCGCATGGGCCCTGGAGGCCCTCGGAGGAGCCGTAGAAGAGCCGACACGGGCCGCGTGAGACTCCCGAAAGAGGTCCCCCACTCCCGCAGCTCCCAAAAGCTCCCAGATGCCTCCAGAACTTGCTCGTCCCATCCCTCCCCCTGTAGATTGCCTGGGCCGCCCCAAGAAGCCCCCAGGACGGCCCGAGAGGGTTCACTATGATGCAAAGACAGCCGCTAGACACTTCCCGGGCGGCCAGAAGGGGCCTAAGACGGCCCAGGAGGGCCCCGAGAAAGCAGAAGAGGGCCCCAGAATCGGCCGAGTGGGTCCCAGGATGGCGCCAACACGGCCCCACAAGAGCCAAGGAGAGCCCAGAGGCTGCCCTGGTGGGCCCCCAGGAGATCCCCTCAAGGATTCGGTAAGATAAGTGCCTCATGTTACGGCTTTCTGGACGTCCGTCCCATTTTAAGGTGGCAGTTGGAGGTGACGGAAAGATGAAAACAGAAAGGGATACAGGCGATGACTGCGACCATGGTGATTGTACCAACGCGACGCGGATGAACACGTCACACGTTGAAGCTCTCCCAAATCTAAGGACAAGAGTTGCCACACGCGACGGTTGGGGTCCATCGGGACCCGTAGGAGCCCGTGGGCATCCACCCACACGGGCCCGCGGAGTCGCACCGCCACTTTAATCGCAATCCATACTGGTATTATTTTCGAGCAGTCCCCTTTCTTTCATGAGCGCCCAGGACAAACAGAGGGGAACACATGAGCGACCCCGGGTTCGAAAGGGGTTGGGAGGTCCAACCAACAGCTTCGCCAAGGCGAAGCCCATATCCAACTGTGCTGTACCGTAGTAACGATACTCCCAGAAGTAGATGATCGTCGCGGGAGCGGCGGGCCACGTCAAGCGAATCTGTTTTCGGTCCCCATGGCAAGTAGTGTGCCTCGCGATGGGGCACAGTCATATCTTGGCGGCCGGCCGCTTGAATCCAAACGGCCGCGGACAAACGCTCACTATCTGTCGCCTTCGCCCCAGCTCCTTTTAGTCGGGGGGGAGGAGACGAAGCGTGAGTCCGCCGCCCGCTATACAGTAAACACTATATACACAAGGACGGCAGCAACAGGCGGGTTCAAAAGGAAGGCTGACCCGCACGCAAGTGCCCTTGCACGCAGGCTGCATTGCGAGCAAATCGCCCTGCAGGCGAGTATTCCTCAGGCGGCCTAAGACGATGTTGCCTGGCCAGCCCGGTACGGAATATGACGTTTTAAGTCGTGCTTGAAGGACTGCGTTCCTCCCATGGCCTGTAAGAGCATATCTCTGTCGATGCTCCCTTCGGTGTGACCGTCCGCAGTCATGTCGCGAGTGTCACACCACTGTATACTATGCACTATACCTCGCTCCGTCATCTATCGTATACAACTGATGTGTCCCAAAAGGGTACACTGGGTCGGTTTCTCCAGGTCTTTGCTTGACGCGGACTTGAAGACATACTCCGCATCTATGGTCAAAGTGACCTTAATGCTCTGGCCGCCCATCTCCCGAATATCCTTCAACTGAGTGGGTGTCAGCGGCCCTGCGTGGAGTTTGTGCAAAGTGACGATCGTGGGATACCAGTCCTCCAAGTTGTGGGCTGCCGCTTGTGTTTCTGCTGTGTAGCCCGAACGGACCTGCAAGCGGTGAGACTTGCAGCGCGC